GAGAAAAGAAGGAGCCCGAGAATAGAGCCTTGTGGTACACCCACAACAGGCGGTAAAAAATGAGAAAGAGGGACTACCCCAAACACAACATTTATTTTAGAGAGATAGGACATGGTCGTATGGGGAGCTGGTCCTCTGATTCTCATCCATTGTTCAAGTCCTGAAATCCGAATATCACAATCTACCATGAGTAGTAGGACTTGGTGTAAAGACAGTTCTCGTACCTGTATGACTCGCCTCCCTCCTTATCCAGGACCGAGTTGCGGGGAAAGCAGTTTCAGGAGAGACTCCCAGACTTCCCTCTCTGAAAACTCCACCTCCAACTGTGCTTGGGGAAGCCCGGTGCTCCCAGGCCACCATATGTGGTCCTTCCAGAGTCCTGGGTCTTGCCCCAGGCCTCCCACTGGTGGGATCTGCCTGGAACACCTGACAGGGAGGGCATCAGAAAAAGAGGTCTGAGCCAAATCAGACTCCTCTGGATGTGGAGGAGAAGCCTCTCCTGAATGACCAAGCTCCTCTCCCTTTCTCTAAGGGAGAGCCCAGCCACCCTCCAGAGAAAGCCAATTTAAGCTGCTTGTATGTGGGAGCATGTTCAATTTAGCTTCTACCTCAGAGGTGTGGAGTTTATTCAGAGCTAAAGTAGAGAATTTCTCCTCTGCTTCTATGGTAACTTATTGATAATCCCCTAAAAGTATTGGTTAACTACCCATCAGTTCCTTATTAGGTTATCTTTGTTTTCCATGATAACTACTCATTGGTTCCTGATAAGTTATTCTGTATTTTCCAGATAACTGAACTAAATCCCCAAATCAGGCTGGGCTGAGTAATTCCCAGTTAGTACTGGCTAACTAACCTTTAGTTCATGCCTTGTTCCTTGTGTGTTCTTTATTCACATTCTTTAAACCTTAATGTAAAGTGTCACAAAGATAATGTGTCAAAACATCAGAGAATATGAAGAAACTGCAGTTATGGAAACTCTGATGTTTGGAATTACTTCATTGCTCCTTTCTGGGTTATATTTGTTATGAACCTCATTGTCCAAAAAGTCTGAACCAAGACAATGAGTTTAAGATAATGTAATTAAACAGCTGCTCCTTCCCTGCTCTCACCAAATGAACACATGTTGTCCGTAGCATTCCTTTACCTAGCATCTTTCAGTATCTGTGGTCGTATTCTGGAGGAGTTAAACTAAGCTTTACCAGAAACAATCCACCATATTCTGTATCTGAAGAAACAAGGTTAGGTTTGACGTTTTCATAGCTTAATTAATTTTTAGGACATGACTAGCTTTAGCTAAGTTTGTGGCTATAGCGCTGTTTCGTTTGGGTTATAGTTTCTATGTTTTTTATGGTTCACCGTTATAACTCATTTTTATATTTAATAGCTGGATTTTTTTATATAGGTGACATTTAGAAAAGGTAGATGAGCAGCAGTAACTGTTCTCTTCTTTTTTTCTATGCACTTGTTAATTATGTAATAAATAAACAAACAAGGGGGTCACAAGGGGTGACCCCAGCTAGAATAAGCGTGATGGAAAATGGATGGATCCATCCATCTTCTCCCACGTATGCGTCATAAGCATAGTTAATACGCATGGGCAAGACATCAGATTTGCATTTCCCTTTAGTTTTGTACAAAAAAAATAGACTAAACTATCTTGAGGGGCGTGTATCCACTTAGTGATGTAAAAAAAAAAAAATTAAGTTCAGATCACCATACGCTTCAAAAAACACCAAAGCGCAAGTGCTTAAATTGCTTTTTTGTACATGACTAAAGGTATACAATGGTGTTGAGGTAGTTTAAGGTCTATTTTTCATACAAAACTAAAGGGATAAACAGTTATTGACTACATGTTTGATGGTCTGACAGGGTATGCTCATCTGACACAACACTGGAGCACCCAGAGAGAACCCACGCCTGAACAGGGAGAACATGCAAACTCCATGCAGAAAGACCCCGAGCCAGGAATCGAACCCAGAACCTTATTGCTGCATGGCAACAGTGCTACCCGCTGCTATATGCCATGCAACACTTGATAAATGCAATGAAACAAAAACATGTTTTGTTTCTACACTGCAGGTTAGCTCTGATGCTCAGGCTGCTCTAACTGTTCTGTTTCTACACTGCAGGTTAAAAGTCACCAGAATCTGGTCACATTATGATTCTTGACACATCTTCCTATGTAACGCAACCGTATGCTTCATGCCTACCTTTGTTGCAGGTGGTGATGTTTTTCTAGCCACCAGTCAACTGATTTTTATGGTGTTACACCAATTGCTCCATCTTAACCAAAACATACCACCACTGTATGTACCTGCCTTAAAGTTAGGACCATTAAAGGTGAGGTCTGGTTCAGTTACATGGGCCAGTTTAATAGTGGAAGCAGTAAAAATATTGAATTCACCGGCATTAAACCACTAAATGAAAAGTAGCTCTAAATGTACCAGCAGTGGTCTCCACAGCAATTTGCCAAAAGAGCAGCTGCTCTGCACTTCTGTGCTTAGGGGTAAATTAACACCAAACTGAGACATTTCCAAGACTTAATGGTATTCTGGTTGGGAATCAACAACCTTTTCTTGGATTTAGATTAGTTAATAAAATTAAAAGTCAGACCTTTGTTCTCATCAGCTAAAGCAACTGGTCAAAAAGGGTCCAACAACTCATTCCACTGGGATGCACACTTGCTGAATGTTTTTAGAAAGATGTTCTACTACAGAGGATGGGGCCAGAAGACTGAAACACCACTTAACCCATTATTTTAGTGTTTATTAAGGGGTCATTATATCTTTGGAAAACTGCTGCCTGTGGTGCAGGGTATGACCCATCAGAGCCACTAGATGGCGCCATTATACAATTTTGATCAAGATAAAAAAGAAAATCTACAACCTAAATGTTAATCAGTCAGTTAAACATTGGAGTCTATAGTTCAGGGGTGTGTGAGCTGATATAACAGACTATAAATAATGAATTATTTCAGGTTTAAAGTTTCTGGCCTGATTTAACAGCATGGAGGTAACCAGCAGTAGATGGCTCCTCCTTCCTTGGAACCAGGAAGAGGCTGCAGGTTGAAACTGGAGAAATGCAACTGGAAATCAGGACAACTGTTGCTAAATGACTGGGTTAGTTTACAGGATCATGGTCAAGATCATCCTACAAAAAAACACTGCAGCCGTGTTGGGAAAGGAGACAAACAGGAAGGTTTGGATGGTTAGTACGGAAAAACTAAGAGAACTTAAATTAGATGAAATTAAATGTAGTCCAAACGTTATCAGCAATCCTTCCCTGGATCATACCTGAAACTACAGTGGATTTGACATGGTTAGAAAAGGTAAAGGACGGCAATATTCAACATAAACTGATACAGAAATATGTTAATAGTTATTATGGTTTTATTCAAATATATACAGATGCATCAAAAAGTGTGAGTAAGAGGCCTGGTATTGCATTTTATGTTCCAGAGTTCAATATCAAAGTAAACAGGAGAATGAATAATGAATTATGAGTTTAAACAGAAGAATTATTAGCAACATGATTAGCATTACAATGGATAGAGGAAGTGAGATCCCTAATATGTTCAGATTCGAGTTCAGCTTAAATCAGTATACAAAATCATAGCTGGGAAAGTAGATCAGACATTTTAATTGAAATACAACAAGTTTTATATCAAGTTCAAATGATGGATATTAGTGTTATATTTATTTGGGTTTCAGCACATATAGGTATTAAAGAAAAGGAAATTGACGATAACATTGCTAAGGAAGCATCACAAAATAAAACCATTGATATGATGATTAACTTAAGTGAGACAGAAATGAAAAGTATCATTAAACAAAGGATGAAGGAAAGGTGGCAAAAACAAAGGAAAGAAGAAAGGAGAGGAAGACGGTTTTATAGGATTCAACGGAAAGTCTGAGAAATGAGGAGAGCAGAAGGAAGCAGATCAGAGGAAACAGTTGTTTCAAGACTTAGCTTTGGGCATAAAGGAAATAAATAATACATTATTCAAAATAGGGAAACATATATCAGGCAGATGTGAGCTTTGTGGACAAGACAAAACATTAGAACATGTAGTGATGCATTGTAAGAAGTATGAAGAAGAAAGAAAGAATTTGGTTAGAGACCCAAATAAGGAGAAAGTTAAATTGAATTTGATGGATATTCTGCAGAAAAGGTAAAATAATTTTTTATTAATATTTATTTAAATATTTGATATTAACAGGAATAATTATGAGGATTTAGTATATTTATAGCAGTAATATAGATAGAGATATATAGGTAAATAAATATAAGTATCTTTATGAATAGGGCCATTCTGATCCACCCTCCTCACCAGTAGGTGGCGGTAATCCACAGAAAAGTTTTTGCCAACCGCCATTAAACCCAACCAGACAAAGAGGAAGAGGCAGAGAAAGAAGGTTTCCATTAACCGGCTGCTCGGTGGTCGCTTCTAACCGGACTTTAACTGGATTAAATCTGATCTGCTTGGATTTTTCTTCCACTGTTCGCCTGCAGCTCTGGAAACGGAACCAGTTGATGTTTAGAGCCTAAAAAATACCAAAGATGAAGACTTGGACCGGGTGAGTGATCACTGATCAGCACGTGGTTTTTAAACGGTGGAGACTTTAGTTCTTTTCTCTCAGCTTTTCTGTCTAACTCAGTTTTTTTTTTTAGTTTTTTTATCGTGTTTATTAAGTGTTAATCCAGCAGGATGGGACTCATCTTTGATGTTCTGCTCTTTTTTAAACATTTCAATAGTCGGAATTTTGTTATGTTATTTTGATTTTGTTATGAAAAGATTCAATCTCAGGGTGGCTGAGAGGGTCTAAAGAATTCTGATTTAAAAAATCATTTATGACAGTTTTTTAGTAATGAATTAACCATGCTGTGTGGGGTCAGAAAAAAAGGAAATGGAAAAAAGCACTCGGCACTGCTGCAGTGCCGAGTGCAAAATAACTGCTTCTTTCTTTTTTCCCCACAACAGTGCCGTGTGCAAACTAAATCGTAAACATCCTGTCCTTCAAAACAGCAGCTGTAGGATTGAAACTTACCGTAGATATGGAATTACAGGCCTATTTCTTCACTGTTTTTATATAAGTTACATATTACTTATTGAATTAGACGCATTTTGGCCTCCTGGCATCTGCCCGAAGTATGACTTTGATTTTTCTTTTATTGATCCTGCAGCTGGTTGAGCTGAACTCTGCACTCAGAGGTAAGAATGATGCATTTAGAGGCAGATAAACATGTTTAAAAATGTTAATGTTCGGTTTCTGTTTTAGAGCAGAAACTGTTAAATCTATGATCTTTATTTCTAGACCAACATGCATCATAACAAAGTTAGTTTCCTCCTGTGGTCGATAATTTACCATAATAGGTGCGTTTCTGAGGGGTTGCAGTTTAAATATATTTATTTTTATTAACGCTTCCTGACGCGCCCATCTTTATAAACAAATGTCACGTGACACAGCTGTTTTTTGTTTTGAAACTTTCATTATGACTTTGCTTAAAGCAGTTTGCTCAGCTTTAGGTTTCACTTTCTGACAAAACAGAACCACAACCTGTGGGTCTGATCCTGCATGATAACAGCAGATCCCAGGAGACCAGAAACCTGCTGATAAAAACAACAGGAAAATATAGTTTTTATGTATATATATGACTGCATTTTAGATGTGAATTATATTTAATGTTTTAGTGTGAAAAGTTGCACACAAATAGTTTTTACAACTTAAAGTTCAGGCGTGCAAAAAGAAATCACACCTTGTAAAAAAAAAAGTAATTTGAGGTTGTTTCTAAAATTTCTACTTGAATTAACAGTTACTTGAATTTACAGACTCTAAAACAGGCCTTTAGCTGGCAGAGCGACCCCTTAGAGCAGAAATTATGTCAAAATTCTATAACAAAAATAGGTAAACCTTTTTCCTTTAAGACAAAAATATTTTTTTCTTGTCGAAAGCTGTCGTATTTGGATACACTGTCTATACTGTATATATGCCATGCACATTTTTCTTCTCCTTTAAGTATTTGAGCTGATGTAACTAGGTAATTTCCCCACTGTGAGATCAATAAAATCAGTCTACTTTACCCAGAACTCCTAAAGTGGAAAAGTTTTAGTTTCAGCTGGTTTATTTCATTAAAATCTTTGTTAAGGAACATTTTGCTATCGGATTATTAATCGATTAATTGAAAAAAATAATCATCAGATAAATCGATTAGCCAAATAATCATTAGTTGCAGCCAGAACCCGCAACCATAGGAACACATTTTCAGCAGGAACTGCTCCCATTACAGATATGCATGGAATAGATCAGCTGTATCCAACAGAACCAGGGGAAATAAAGAAAAACATGAATAAAAGCATTAATTACAAAAGCAACATGGACTATTTCAACACTTTCTGAGTAAGGACTGTGCACAGCATGTATGGAGGAGAGCAGAATCAGGTGACCTTTACTGAACCCCGGCACCCAATACATGACCGTTAGTGGCACTTCAACGAGGGTTAAGCCATGTGGCAAACATTTCAAAGTTAGGTCTTATTGTTGAGCTTTTAGCCCCTTTTGGGGGTTTTTCTGCCATTTCAGGAAAGCAGTTTATAGTTTGGGGTTTTTTGTTTTTTTTTTGGTCCAGGCACACTTGTAATTCTGTGGTACTCCCAGCAGGGGGAGCTGATTTCCCCAGTTCCAGAGGTACTACCTGTGTCCCCAGTGGCTATTCCCAAATAGCGTCTAGTCTTCCTTCTGCCGCCTGCTAGTTAAGCTAGCGACAGCTATCTTGGTGGAGTTTCCTGAACAGAAGGCTGTCATTGGTTGAGTCTCTGTCAGAAGAGGCTTTTTAATGATGGCGTTTTAGAAACTAGTCTTTATTGTCTTTGGGGCTCATTAAAAAACATCAAACACACAACAGGATTCAACCAAAGTAATTTTAATCGCATAAAGTGCAGCATTTCCTGTATCTCTGTTAAAGCAACAGAGTGATGTCATCTGCAAACATTTGATTCCAGACATTTAGTCACAGATAAAAAACAAAATGGATTATAGTTCATATCCAGGAAGGTTCTGACTCCTACCTGTTTCCTCTTCTCTGGATCTTTCAGATCAGCAGGAAGTGAGAGGGAAACTTGGACAGAACGTGTCCCTGGGCTGCATTGGACCCAGAGACGCAGAAATCAAACTCTTCACCTGGACCAAAAATAGCAGTCGACGGGACTATGTGTACTTCTACCGTAAAGACCGTCAGTACCCGTCCTACCAGGACGACTCGGTCAGAGGACGGGTCCATCTGAGGGAGGCCTCGGCCATGAAGGACGGAGACTTCTCCGTGGTTCTGCTGAACCTCAGCATGACGGATGCAGGAACCTACGTGTGTCGGATCGTTACCCAGAACCCAGGTGGAGCTGATGGAGAGTTTCAGAGCTTCGTCCACCTCAGTGTCTCAGGTGAGGGTCCCAGTCGGACCAATGGGTCCACTGCCTCCTGATTTACTGTGATAAACGTCAGAGATGAATATCAGATCGGTTCACCTGGATGGAAGCTAAAGTCTGATGCTATGGTTGTTCTCATGCAGATTTCTCTTGTTTCTGTTCTGCAGGAACAGAAGAGGAAGAAGAACCCAAGAACACAGAAGACGAGGGAACAACGGATGCGGCTAAAACATTGTTCGCTCTAGTTGGGATCATTGTGCCGCTACTTTTTCTGATTATCGTCTGTTTTGTTCTTATCAAAAAACGTGCTTTGTCAAAGTGTAGATTAAGTTCCTTCCAAATGGAACCGGAACTAAAGAACCGAACAGGAATGATTTGATCTGAATCATACTGAATGTGAGAACGTTTCTTATTTCTCTGAAATATTCCCTGTTATCAGAAATATATGAGACTTATAAGCTGCTTTGCACCTTTTGCACTTTTCCTGCTATGTGGCATCCTCTGTCCGTCAGCAGCCTCAGGCACCTTGGTTGTTCCCTGGCAAAAATTTTGTTTAATGGAAAAACGTTTTTAATATGATTTTATGAATTTTTTTATATTGCAGATGTAATAAAAAAAATCACTTTGTTTGTAGATAAGCTATTTGTAATGAAATGTTAAAGTTCTTTCCAGGCTAATAAAGCATTAATTCAATCTGTTATAACAGCTTTTGTGTTCATGAAGCCCCAGATCAGAGAAAGCTGCTGGTTTCAAACCCATTTATAACAGCTGATGTCACTTCCTGTGGAGAAAGGAGGAAGCGCTCCGTCGCCATAGCCTGATAGCAGCAACCTGTTTCAGAGAGAAATCTTCCCTAGTTTCAGAGCAGCTCATAGACTTTATACCTAAAAGTATTCACTCCCCGATCCAATTAACTAGACTAAGGAGTTCAATCACTTTTATGGCTGCAGGTGTATAAAATCACCTGGGCCTGCAGACTTATTACAGACTTTAGTGAAAGGATGGGTCGCTGCAGGAGCTAAGTGGATTCCAGGGTTGAACTGTGATGTATCATTAAATAGAAATGTTTGGGAACGACAGCAGCTCCTCCAGGCAGTGGTCGCCTCAGCTGACGGAGCGAGGCCAGCGATGCTGATGATCATAGTGAGAAAAGGTGAATCACAAAACATCAGATCTGCTCCTGATCAGCTGCATCCAAACCATACGTCACCAAGAGCAACGCCTCAGAATCAGGGGGTTATGGTGTGTTTTTTTTTTTTTTTTTTTCTAGCTGCTGGGCTGGCCCCTTAGTTCCAGTAACAGGAACTGAATGATTCAGCAAACCAGGACATTTTGGACAATCCCAGCTTTGTGGGAACAGTTTGGATCCGGATCCTTCCTCTTCCAACATGGCTTTGGATCGGAGCACGAAGACATGGAGGGCAGAACCTGACCTCAGCCTCATAGAACACGTTTCAGATGGATGAAAAAACATTACAAACCCATAAAAAATGAAAATTCAGCGTCTGACCTTCCAGTTTTCAACCAAATGCTGTTTAGTTGGAAATAAAGTCTTTTCAATGCTTACAGCCAATTTTTCCTCAGTGGGATAGAACTTTGCAGACTTTAAGTTAGAAAACTGCAGCTCTGATGTTGCGTTCCAGCTTAGATTGAAACGTTTCCATCGGTTGGTAAAGGAGCAATGTGAAAACATTCACTAATCTCCCAGTTTACTGCATTAAAATAATGTTTTTACTGTAAAATCATCACTGAAAGAGGAGGAAGTCTGATTATAATTAACGTCACATGAAGCTCTTAGTTTCTGACATTATTGCAGGATTTGGTTCCTTGATCACTTTTCATTCATATGAACCTGAAATTGGTCTAAATTCTGAATATATTTGTAAATATTGTTAATGTTTAACTGAGATCTGAGCTTTAATATAGAATCAGGTTTATATCTCACTGGGCAACAAAGTGTTTGTTTCCTAGAAAGGAAAACTATCCAGACTGGGAGGTTTTCAGTTTCTGCAGCCTTTGCATTCAGTGCAGCTAAAATCAAGTTTAGAACCACAACTGCTACATGACCTTTAAAAAATAAATAGATAACGAATGTCCACTTGACTAAACTAACTATTAGTTTAGTCTTTATAATTGTTGCCAGTTTTGATTAGTCATTGTTTTAGGTTTAGAGAGTCAGAGGAAAATACTCAGTCTGATCATGATCCATCCAAATAAACACTATTCATGAAAAAAAAACAAAAAAAATCACATTTCAAGTGTTTTGGTACCAAAATAATCAAAGGATAATCTTGTCTATCTCACTGTGCAGCAAAAGTCCTCAAGTTCCCACTTTTTCCTGACAGCGTGAGCCGTTAATATAAATCACATCTGGTCCTAAAGTAAAACCAAAATGAAAGAAACCTCACCATTAATCCTCCATTTCTTTCTGGCCTGTTTTTCAAAATAAAAGAAATATTAAGGTTTATTCTCAGCCTCCTCGATCAACCACCCCTGTAGCGAATGATGTTCCCCTGAGCTTCGTCTAGAAATAACTAATCTGATTAAGATTTTAATCCTTAAGTCGAAGCTGCTCCTCAGCTGATAGAATTGATCTCCTACATAATTTGTTAATATCACAAAATCAAAATCCAATCAATTTAGAAACCTGGTTACCATTCCTGATTGAAACATTTTTAGCCCTAAATTTGAGCTATTCCTATTAACTCAAAGGTATTTAAGCTTTTACTGCTTATTTCCTTGTTTATATAAACCCAGTCCAGTGAAATAGGCTACAATATAATCACTATTTTGAAGTCTTACTCTTTATTTTGTACATTCTTTGTACATTTAAAATACAAACATTGAAAAAAAAAAGATAATAATTACTTCTAAATAAAAAAAAAGTATCCCTACTATATGGATCTTTATAAATAAAGCCTGGGAAACCTCTAAAACAGGCATCCCCAAAGTCGGTCCTGGAAGCCCGCTGTCCTGCAGGTTTTAGAGGTTTCTCTGCTCCAGCACAGCTGATTTACATTGATAGTTAATCAACAAGCTTTTGCTGAACTGCAATCATCAGAATCAGCTGTGCTAAAGCAGAGAAACCTCTAAAACCTGCAGAACAGCAGGCCTCCAGGACCGAGTTTGGGGATGCCTGCTGGAGGTTTCTCTGCCTCAGCACTGCAGATTCTGATGACTGCAGCTCAGCATCAGCCTGTTAATCAGCTGTCAATGAGAATCAGCTGTGCTGAAGCAGGGAAACCTCTACATCTGGCATCCCCAAAGTTGGTCCTCGAGGGCCGCTGTCCTGCAGGTTTTAGAGGTTTCTCTGCTCCAGCACAGTTGATTTACAATGATAGTTGATTAACAGGCTTTTGCTGAACTGCAATCATCAGAATCAGCTGTGCTAAAGTAGAGAAACCTCTAAAACCTGCAGGACAAAGGCCCTCGAGGACCGACTTTGGGGATGCCAGATGTAGAAGCTGCAGCAGGCTGGGTCCAGTTTAACAGAGCAGGGGAATGGTTACCCTAATTAGGTCTGGGATTGATTCTTCTTTCCTGTTTAAAAAGCTATAAACACTGTTTACCTGGAGTAAAATCATAGCAACACATTACTCCATGAAAGCAGCCTGCTTGGTTGCAGGGCTGTTGCTGTTTTCCTCAACTCTTTCAAATAGTCTGCATATTCAGTTATTAGTGGGTCTGATTTGCGGCTGTGAAATGCTGTCAGCCTTCAGTTTCCATGGTTACCTGTGAGTCCAGCCAGTGACATGCCCCATTACCAGTCCACATGCATGTTAAAATGCCCTGTACAAGCAAGTCTCCTGGGCGACTATAGGAGGAAACCCATTAAAAACCTGTTAGAAGCAAAATCAGACCCGGATCCATTAAAGCTTCGTTCTACAGACATGAAATCCACACACTATTGCTGTGGGTGAATTCAGCAAAGCACCTGAGAAAACATGAGGCTGCAGCTCCTTAAAGTTCCTGCAATTTCACTGATGTAACCCAGAGACATTCAGGGGCTCTGGCTGAAGCTGATGAAAAACACAGGAAGTCATCAACGTGGGCTCACTGATCTGTTAATTCACTGATTGATGATTGCACGTTGGTAGAACGGGGTTGAAGTGAAGCCACCGGCCGCCATATTGGTACTCCCCAGTTAGACCGGTCTCAATGTAAACAACCTGTGCGCTACAGCATCGAACAACGATGATGTTCTCATTTTCAGGGGAACTTAAGACTTTTAAAATAACGATAAATTCATCACTTTGACACAGACTGGCTGTTTCATAGCATCAGTGGATTAACTTTAACTTAGAATTAAAAAAAATGGGACCATCACTTTGCATAGCTATTATGAAAACAATGAAGTCTATAAATCATGCAATATAACATATTATACAAAACATCACAATAAAATTAATGTGTTAATGGAGCAGAATAATGCAGATGAGCCAAAACAGGTAAATTGATGATGTACTTGTGATATACATGTATTGGTTACATTATTATGGTAATTACATATTGCATGTTTTCAAGATTTTTCATAAAGACTGAATTACAAGTAAATGTCTGTTAATGCTATAGTATTTTTCTATTAGCAAATTGTGAATAGATGATGCCGTATACTTTAATCCTGTGTCTGTGCATTAGACTTTAAAAATGTTTGAGTTGCTTTTTTTCCCATCAATAAAACATGCTAAATATTTCAGCTCATGACTTTTTCAAATGAAAAATAAAACAAAAGCAACAGGAACAACAGAATAATCCACTTAATAAAGAATAACTACATTAACATTTCACAGTGAATTACTTTCTATTTCCTCTACTTTCTATTTTGTAACGTTAGACCCAATGTCAATGGCTAACTCAGTCAATATCTTCCAGTCAGTCTGAGATAGCCAGACTAATGTCACACTACAGACTATACTATAGGATCAGTTCATCCACTGACTAGGAACGTCTTCCTGCAGCCAGAAAACTGTTGGTTTTAGGAGCTAAATGCTGCACAGGGAGGCATTTTTACTGCACATCTCTGTGGGAGTGGGGAGTACCAAGATGGCGGCCAGTGTCTTCACTTTTTTGGGGTAATCAGTAATCCAGTGAATAAATAGAAATCAGTGCGTGGGCTGCAGACCTCTGCTGCTCTCCTTCCCTTGCAGAATATAAACTTGACATGTCAAAGTAAAACCAAAAAGGAGGAAAGCAAATAAAAACATAGATCAAGTTATATTAATCAAAAAAATCTTTATTTTCATCCGGAAATCTGAATAAAGATTATTCAGTCCTCTGGCTCAGAACACAACAATAACAAGCAGACAGAAAACATGAACCCTGCCAGAAAAATAAAACACCTTATAAAGGATAATCCCCCCCACACACACACACACAACACATTTTATTAAACACACTTAGATAAAAAAAATAAAAGAAAATTAGAAACATTAAGATAAGCAATAGAATCATGTACAGAAATTAAGCCTGTAGCTTTAGCACATGCAGCTAATGCTAAAGCAGTCTACAGACTACAATCTACAGACTGCTTTAGCATTAGCTGGTTACCTGTGGAGTACCACAGGGATCAGTGCTAGGACTAATTCTCTTTACTTTATACATGCTCCCAATTGGTAGAGTTATTAGACAGCATGCAGTGATGGTGAGATGAAGCCTCATGAGGCATTGAACCGTTTGGCCAAATTGCTTCAACG